TGCATCACATGGTAACACTGGAGGGGTATTGTGAGTAATGTATCACATGGTAACACTGTGGGGGTATTGTGAGTAATGCATCACGTGGTAACACCGTGAGGGTATTGAGAAATGTATCACGTGGTAACGCTGAAGGTATTGTGAGTAATGCATCACATGGTAACACTGTAGGGGTATTGTGAGTAATGTATCACGTGGTAACACCTTGGGGGTATTATGAGTAATGCATCACGTGGTAACACTGTAGGGGTATTGTGAGCAATGTATCACGTGGTAACACTGGGAGGGGGGTATTGTGAGTAATGCATCACATGGTAACACTGTAGGGGTATTGTGAGTAATGCATCACGTGGTAACACCTTGGGGGTATTATGAGTAATGCATCACGTGGTAACACCGTGGGGGTATTATGAGTAATGCATCACGTGGTAACACTGTAGGGGTATTGTGAGTAATGAATCACGTGGTAACGCTGGAGGTATTGTGAGTAATGCATCACATGGTAACACTGTAGGGGTATTGTGAGTAATGTATCACGTGGTAACACTTTGGGGGTATTATGAGTAATGCATCACGTGGTAACACTGGGGGGGGGGGTATTGTGAGAAATGAATCACGTGGTAACGCTGGAGGTATTATGAGTAATGCATCACATGGTAACACTGTAGGGGTATTGTGAGTAATGTATCACGTGGTAACACCTTGGGGGTATTATGAGTAATGCATCACGTGGTAACACTGTAGGGGTATTGTGAGTAATGTATCACGTGGTAACACTGGGAGGGGGGGTATTGTGAGTAATGCATCACATGGTAACACTGGAGGGGTATTGTGAGTAATGTATCACATGGTAACACTGTGGGGGTATTGTGAGTAATGCATCACGTGGTAACACCGTGAGGGTATTGTGAGAAATGTATCACGTGGTAACACCGTGGGGGTATTGTGAGTAATGCATCACGTGGTAACACCGTGGGGGTATTGTGAGTAATGTATCACGTGGTAACACCTTGGGGGTATTATGAGTAATGCATCACGTGGTAACACTGGGGGGGGGGGGGGGTATTGTGAAAAATGAATCACGTGGTAACGCTGGAGGTATTATGAGTAATGCATCACATGGTAACACTGTAGGGGTATTGTGAGTAATGTATCACGTGGTAACACCTTGGGGGTATTATGAGTAATGCATCACGTGGTAACACTGTAGGGGTATTGTGAGTAATGTATCACGTGGTAACACTGGGAGTTTGGGTATTGTGAGTAATGCATCACATGGTAACACTGGAGGGGTATTGTGAGTAATGTATCACATGGTAACACTGTAGGGGTATTGTGAGTAATGCATCACGTGGTAACACCGTGAGGGTATTGAGAAATGTATCACGTGGTAACGCTGAAGGTATTGTGAGTAATGCATCACATGGTAACACTGTAGGGGTATTGTGAGTAATGTATCACGTGGTAACACCTTGGGGGTATTATGAGTAATGCATCACGTGGTAACACTGTAGGGGTATTGTGAGTAATGTATCACGTGGTAACACTGGGAGGGGGGGTATTGTGAGTAATGCATCACATGGTAACACTGTAGGGGTATTGTGAGTAATGCATCACGTGGTAACACCTTGGGGGTATTATGAGTAATGCATCACGTGGTAACACCGTGGGGGTATTATGAGTAATGCATCACGTGGTAACACCGTGGGGGTATTATGAGTAATGCATCACGTGGTAACACCGTGGGGGTATTATGAGTAATGCATCACGTGGTAACACTGGGGGGGGTATTGTGAGAAATGAATCACGTGGTAACGCTGGAGGTATTGTGAGTAATGCATCACATGGTAACACTGTAGGGGTATTGTGAGTAATGTATCACGTGGTAACACCTTGGGGGTATTATGAGTAATGCATCACGTGGTAACACTGGGGGGGGGGGGGTATTGTGAGAAATGAATCACGTGGTAACGCTGGAGGTATTATGAGTAATGCATCACATGGTAACACTGTAGGGGTATTGTGAGTAATGTATCACGTGGTAACACCTTGGGGGTATTATGAGTAATGCATCACGTGGTAACACTGTAGGGGTATTGTGAGTAATGTATCACGTGGTAACACTGGGAGGGGGGGTATTGTGAGTAATGCATCACATGGTAACACTGGAGGGGTATTGTGAGTAATGTATCACATGGTAACACTGTGGGGGTATTGTGAGTAATGCATCACGTGGTAACACCGTGAGGGTATTGAGAAATGTATCACGTGGTAACGCTGAAGGTATTGTGAGTAATGCATCACATGGTAACACTGTAGGGGTATTGTGAGTAATGTATCACGTGGTAACACCTTGGGGGTATTATGAGTAATGCATCACGTGGTAACACTGTAGGGGTATTGAGAAATGTATCACGTGGTAACGCTGAAGGTATTGTTAGTAATGCATCACATGGTAACACTGTGGGGGTATTGTGAGTAATGCATCACGTGGTAACACCGTGAGGGAATTGAGAAATGTATCACGTGGTAACGCTGAAGGTATTGTGAGTAATGCATCACATGGTAACACTGTAGGGGTATTGTGAGTATTGTATCACGTGGTAACACCTTGGGGGTATTATGAGTAATGCATCACGTGGTAACACTGTAGGGGTATTGTGAGTAATGTATCACGTGGTAACACTGGGAGGGGGGTATTGTGAGTAATGCATCACATGGTAACACTGTAGGGGTATTGTGAGTAATGCATCACGTGGTAACACCTTGGGGGTATTATGAGTAATGCATCATGTGGTAACACTGTGGGGGTATTATGAGTAATGTATCACGTGGTAACACCGTGGGGGTATTATGAGTAATGCATCACGTGGTAACACCTTGGGGGTATTATGAGTAATGCATCACGTGGTAACACCGTGGGGGTATTATGAGTAATGCATCACGTGGTAACACCTTGGGGGTATTATGAGTAATGCATCACGTGGTAACACCGTGGGGGTATTATGAGTAATGCATCACGTGGTAACACCTTGGGGGTATTATGAGTAATGCATCACGTGGTAACACCGTGGGGGTATTATGAGTAATGCATCACGTGGTAACACCTTGGGGGTATTATGAGGAATGCATCACGTGGTAACACCGTGGGGGTATTATGAGTAATGCATCACGTGGTAACACCTTGGGGGTATTATGAGTAATGCATCACGTGGTAACACCGTGGGGGTATTATGAGTAATGTATCACGTGGTAACACCTTGGGGGTATTATGAGTAATGCATCACGTGGTAACACCGTGGGGGTATTATGAGTAATGCATCACGTGGTAACACCTTGGGGGTATTATGAGTAATGCATCACGTGGTAACACCGTGGGGGTATTATGAGTAATGCATCACGTGGTAACACCGTGGGGGTATTATGAGTAATGCATCACGTGGTAACACTGGGGGGGGGGGGGTATTGTGAGAAATGAATCACGTGGTAACGCTGGAAGTATTGTGAGTAATGCATCACATGGTAACACTGTAGGGGTATTGTGAGTAATGTATCACGTGGTAACACCTTGGGGGTATTATGAGTAATGCATCACGTGGTAACACTGGGGGGGGGTATTGTGAGAAATGAATCACGTGGTAACGCTGGAGGTATTATGAGTAATGCATCACGTGGTAACACTGTAGGGGTATTGTGAGTAATGTATCACGTGGTAACACTGGGAGGGGGGGTATTGTGAGTAATGCATCACATGGTAACACTGGAGGGGTATTGTGAGTAATGTATCACATGGTAACACTGTGGGGGTATTGTGAGTAATGCATCACGTGGTAACACCGTGAGGGTATTGAGAAATGTATCACGTGGTAACGCTGAAGATATTGTGAGTAATGCATCACATGGTAACACTGTAGGGGTATTGTGAGTAATGTATCACGTGGTAACACCTTGGGGGTATTATGAGTAATGCATCACGTGGTAACACTGTAGGGGTATTGTGAGTAATGTATCACGTGGTAACACTGGGAGGGGGGGTATTGTGAGTAATGCATCACATGGTAACACTGTAGGGGTATTGTGAGTAATGCATCACGTGGTAACACCTTGGGGGTATTATGAGTAATGCATCACGTGGTAACACTGGGGGGGGTATTGTGAGAAATGAATCACGTGGTAACGCTGGAGGTATTGTGAGTAATGCATCACATGGTAACACTGTAGGGGTATTGTGAGTAATGTATCACGTGGTAACACTGGGAGGGGGGGTATTGTGGGGGCCTGTAAGGTCGATTTTTGCAACTCGGGAAGGGAATGACATAGCGAGTTGAAAAAAGTCACGTTGACTTAGAAATTCCAGACAGCATAAGCTGTGCAAATTTCATAACGCCAGAGCTCAGCGTTCGACAGTTTTTGCTGCTTCACACAAACAAACAGATGGATTTTCTGCTTTTTAATTACGATGACTCCTCTCCCTTCTTTCCCCTCCCCTCCTCTATCTAGCCAACTGACGGGCAGGCCTGCACAAAAAGCAGACTTCATCGTGCACTTGAAGTGCGCCCTTCATAGAGGAGACTCCATAGAGGCTAGCTGGCCTCTAGGAAATGCACATTGCTTTCCAAATAGTACAACAATCTGAGGAGCAAGCGGTGCACTGTAGATTACAATAGGAATTAGCTGCTCAGAAAATATCCAAAACTCTACCATTTTGCCGCAGATATTTTGATCACTGACCCCGTGGACAACAGGAGTTTCCGCAAACTGCGGGGTTGCCTTGACTTAAAGGAATTTTCTGATTGTTGGAGAGCAAATTGATGGAGTTCTGCTGTGTATAATATACAGTGCAGTATATAATATAATTTATTGTAGTAAATAGTGTTGTGTAGTATGTAATGTAGTGTATAGTATTAAATAGTGTAGTATATAACGTAGTGTAGAATAGTACAGAATATAATGTAGTGTAGTATATATTAATTTAATATATGATGTATCACTCTGTGTAGGATCCACCCGCGCTACAAGCAGGAGGTTGCCTCCCGTCTGCTGCTAGGTGCACTGGCTGTTGCCTACAATCACAGTTCCTCCATATTCCAGGGCCCCTTCCCAGAGGTGGCCACTGTGAACCTGAAATCCCAGATGCTCGTCATCAAATATGGACAGAAGCTGATCCACCGCAAATGGGGACGGGGCGACTTTCAGGTCAGAGGTCATATTACATGATGTTCGTGTTATCGGTTTCGTATACCTTTGTTGTTGTGTATTACTATTTTTATCGCATTGTTTTAAGTGCTTTGCTATATTCCAGTACGATCAAAGATCGTTTATTTTTCAACTGAGGTTCACTGCACATTACCCTGCTACAAGTTTCTCTCTCCTCCCCCCTATTCTTCCTCCTTTCCTCTCCTTTCCTCCATCCTCTCTGAACGTCTACCCTCTTTTTCCCCTCCCATCCTCTACTCTCCTCTCAATCGCAGATCTGCTGTTCTCAAGTGCTCAGTCAGTGTCTGGACCCAGACTGGCAACGAGCTCCAATCCTCTACGTACAAGACCACAGTGTCTTCCTCGACATCTCCACCTGCATTGGCACCAACAGGGCCGTGACGTCTGTCCGCTATGCTTGGTCTAACTGGCCGTGTGAACTCCACGCTTGTGCCCTCTATGGAGAGGAGCCTACCGCACTACCAGCACCCCCCTTCATAATGGCCGTGCCGTCAGAGGGGGGTTTATAATGGCAGTGTCGGGGGAATTTAAAGCGGTAGTGTCGGGGAGATTTATAACAGGGGTGTGGGTAGGGGGTTCCTAACGGTTGTTTTCATGGGGCCCTTCAGGGCCATGTTGGCGGGTTCATAAAGACCATGTCGGTGGGTTTCTTAAGGCCTTAGCAGCAAAGCTGTCCTCTCTTCTGTGGTGGAGTCTGCTGGACCCCGACTAGGGTCGCCCACCTTCCCCACAGATCAAGACCGTAATACATATTGCTAGATCGACACTGCACAGTATATCACAATTAAATTCCACACATTACCAGTACCATAAATATCTGTATAAAACAATTCCTGTCGCCAACAATGTTGTATATTGGCCTTTTCCAAAAAATAATTTTAAAATGTGATGTTTATTTTGAATTTCATAGTTCCTTGTAGACATGTGCATTCATTACGTTGTGAGTTGAAATACCAGATGGGGCAAACAACTAATTAGGACTAGTGAGACATTGGAAATCAGAACAGGCTTGATAGCTTGGGATGATAATAAGTAGCACGAACCTGTCAAACTCTTTCCTTGATCGAACACAGACATTACCAGAAAGACCATGAATGGGCACTATGCTGCTTTTAAAGTGCCCATGATAGGAAACCTGCCACACTCAACATCTTGAGCTGTTTAAATTAGTAACAAGTCTTGGCATTTGTGATGACCGCATATGAATATTCAAAAACATCATGGTATTACATTGTGACCTTGATGATATGATGTATCACTACATGACAATGCAGCCAAGGGCCAAAAGGCGAAATATTACCATTTTGCATGATCTTATTAAAATTCACGATCATAAAAAAGTGCTATAAGGTCTGGGTTACGCATGTGAAAATTGACAATAGAATTATGTCAGTTCATGATGAAGTGTTGATCAGGAGCATTCAGGCCAATATGTAGATGTTTATGCTAATTTTCCACGACCAAATAATTTATATGTATTCAAGGGTGTATAACCGGAGCCACGCCCGACCGCCTTTGTCTCTCCAGTGGTGATCTTTACATGCAGCATCATGTATTCATTTTATGGCTGAGTCGACCTTGGGGGAAGGGGGGTGGGAACCAGGACCAGTTCAGATAACCGCTACTGCCAACCAGGCTCAATAGGAGAGGAGAAACAAGACATAAACGAGATAGGGAGGCTGTTTTCACACCTCAATGCATGTGCGACACAACAACAGACATACACCATGGGATAACCAAAACTAAGAGCGAACTTTCATTAGCCAATAGACTTTCATTAGGTCGGTATTCACACAGATCTTGAGATGACCTCCGAAGGGCAGGAGAGCGGAAACAGGAACGAGTTTATGACTCCAGAATGTCTGCAGAGCCAAAATCAGAGATTAACTCAGGATGATCGTATGGATGCTCGAGGGTGTGACTAGGAGCAGCTTCATACTCTTAAATGGCCTCGGGAATAAATTAAATAAGGCAGATATTTCTATATAACAAGACAAACATCACATTAATCAGTCTTGCAAGCGCAAAGGCTCCGAGTATCAAAGAGTTTGAGTCTTGCTAAGGCAGACTAAAGAGTGTTCCTGAAAGCTGTTCAATGTTTCTTTATATTCTTCTTTACATGTTGAGTCTCTTGCAGTCAAACTCTGTATAGTTGTTTTGCGAGGAAAATCATTGATAAGCATCCATAGTGGATCCTCATACAGCCTTCCCTTCTACAAAGATATTCTGAGTAGCATACTATTGAGGTGCAAATGAATATTCTTTATATAAAACAGTACTCAGGTCAGAGGTGCCAGGGAATTTGTTGGCAACACGTCTATTGCGGCATAAAGCAACTTACTCAAGTGGATATTTGAGTTACGCACCAATATTAAGTGTGCACAGAAATATTGTTCAAGCTATAGACTGGAGAGCTCTGTTTGTAGTCAAGTCAGCCTGACTGACATTGCATGAGGTGTGAAGAGGCTTGGAGTGTGTCCAAATTGTCAGGTGCAGTTTCTACCTGAACCTGTGACTGTCTGCACGCCGTTGACCTCCGAGCGTGGACTGCAAAGGGTGCTCACAAACCAAGACTAGTGGTGACCAACTCACAATGTGTCAGGGCAAGTGTCGCGACGTGCGACCAACCTGCTGATGAGCAACCTGCATGCCGGCCAGCGAGGCCGCAGTGTGTCTAAGCTGCAGATCAAGCGTGACGTGCAGACAATCCTATGAACAAGCAGCAGGCAGCATGGTCGCAGCACCCTCCAGCAGTAGACCAAGCCTACTATTCAGCAGTAATTTCTGGTAGAGAAGTTAGAAGATGAACACTGACTTATATACTCACTCATCATATAACCACACTCCTTACAGATTGTGATGCCAACCTCGCACAAGCACACATGAATTGACTCACACCCATTCTGCACATCTTAATTAGTTAATTGCATGTACAACTGCCACCTTGACACACACACACCCACTCTACATCACGCATTCGATCATTGAGGCTTTTCAAACCATTTAGTATGCATTTATGAGCACGTATGTCTGCATGAATACTGTTATTTTGAGGTGTCAGCCTGGTTTACTTCTTTTATAGCATAATTTTGTGATTTGATCATTGATACTTTTCTAACCATTTAGCATGAATTGACGAGTACGTATATTTGCATGTGTACTATAGTGCCACACTCAATTTTTCGATGTCAATCTAAGTTCATATCAATGTTGCTTCGATTAAAAAGAGTCTGAGTGCTTCCTTCCTAACTCGTGCCTCATATTTCTCAATTTTGAGAACTGTATCCTGCGGTAATATCTGATTTCTAAGACCTGACAATTGCCTGTAACTGATAAAAAGATAATCAGTAAATGTTATCACGATTGATTTATACCCCTAGACAATGTAAAAGCCAATAATAACTTATTTTTGGTTCTTTCGGTAAAGTCATGTAGAAGAGAAATTATAAAATAATACAAATAAAACATTTTTCGGTAAAGTCACGTAGAAGGAAAATAATAAATACTTTTTTTTATTTGTATTATTAAAAAAAACATTTATTTGTATTATTTTATTACTTCTCTTCTACGTGACTTTACCGAAAGAACCAAGAATATGAATCCCTGCAGTCACGAAAGTTTTACGTCAATAATAACTTGTTAACGTGCCAATCTATTGTTTGATTTAATTAAATAAATTATCTTGAATTCATAGAGTCGAAATAACTATCCATTACAATTGACAATAATCGCTCCTGATCATATGCGTAAAAATCGTTAACCCGATATAAACACATTATTAAATAGGAAGAGAGTTGGTAGTCAATATTTAACACAAGTGCAACATCTTCCTCTTTAAGCATGGGTCCTGGCTTTGTAATACATTGAACGCACCTGGTATGTAATCCTTGTAACACTCAGTGCTGTTCGTGGTTCTCTTCCCCTGTAATTCCTGAATGTGAGACCCCCCTGGTGGATGAATAGATACAGTTGCTGCTCACGTGAAACGAGGAGGCGTTTGGTGGTTGATGGATCTGAGGGGGGGAGTCCGATGGAAGGAGGACAATGCACACTCACACGTGGAGACGGGGATCCACGATGAAAGACTACTTTGGAGGAATAGTGATCATGTGTTAAGTGGTTTTTCACAATCCTTCTTGGCGATGATTTTTAGTAATGTTTCACGTGGTAACACCTTGGGGGTATTATGAGTAATGCATCACGTGGTAAAACTGTAGGGGTATTGTGAGTAATGTATCACGTGGTAACACTGGGAGGGGGGGTATTGTGAGTAATGCATCACATGGTAACACTGTAGGGGTATTGTGAGTAATGCATCACGTGGTAACACCTTGGGGGTATTATGAGTAATGCATCACGTGGTAACACTGGGGGGGGGGGTATTGTGAGAAATGAATCACGTGGTAACGCTGGAGGTATTGTGAGTAATGCATCACATGGTAACACTGTAGGGGTATTGTGAGTAATGTATCACGTGGTAACACCTTGGGGGTATTATGAGTAATGCATCATGTGGTAACACTGGGGGGGGGGTATTGTGAGAAATGAATCACGTGGTAACGCTGGAGGTATTGTGAGTAATGCATCACATGGTAACACTGTAGGGGTATTGTGAGTAATGTATCACGTGGTAACACTGGGAGGGGGGGTATTGTGGGGGCCTTAACCCACTGACATGTAAGGTCGATTTTTGCAACTCGGGAAGGGAATGACATAGCGAGTTGAAAAAAGTCACGTTGACTTAGAAATTCCAGACAGCATAAGCTGTGCAAATTTCATAACGCCAGAGCTCAGCGTTCGAGAGTTTTTGCTGCTTCACACAAACAAACAGATGGATTTTCTGCTTTTTAATTAAGATGACTCCTCTCCCTTCTTTCCCCTCCCCTCCTCTATCTAGCCAACTGACGGGCAGGCCTGCACAAAAAGCAGACTTCATCGTGCACTTGAAGTGCGCCCTTCATAGAGGAGACTCCATAGAGGCTAGCTGGCCTCTAGGAAATGCACATTGCTTTCCAAATAGTATAACAATCTGAGGAGCAAGCGGTGCAATGTAGATTATAATAGGAATTAGCTGCTCAGAAAATATCCAAAACTCTACCATTTTGCCGCAGATATTTTGATCACTGACCCCGTGGACAACAGGAGTTTCCGCAAACTGCGGGGTTGCCTTGACTTAAAGGAATTTTCTGATTGTTGGAGAGCAAATTGATGGAGTTCTGCTGTGTATAATATACAGTGCAGTATATAATATAATTTAGTGTAGTAAATAGTGTTGTGTAGTATGTAATGTAGTGTATAGTATTAAATAGTGTAGTATATAACGTAGTGTAGAATAGTACAGTATATAATGTAGTGTAGTATATATTAATTTAATATATGATGTATCACTCTGTGTAGGATCCACCCGCGCTACAAGCAGGAGGTTGCCTCCCGTCTGCTGCTAGGTGCACTGGCTGTTGCCTACAATCACAGTTCCTCCATATTCCAGGGCCCCTTCCCAGAGGTGGCCACTGTGAACCTGAAATCCCAGATGCTCGTCATCAAATATGGACAGAAGCTGATCCACCGCAAATGGGGACGGGGTGACTTTCAGGTCAGAGGTCATATTACATGATGTTTGTGTTATCGGTTTCGTATACCTTTGTTGTTGTGTATTACTATACACAACAACCGCCCCCTCTGTCTATTTAAGGCCACCCCACAGAGACGATCACTCCTCTCTGTACCTGGGTTGCTCTCTCTATGTATCTTGGTCATATCTGTCTGCTTATATGTCTGTCTATAGTTTTCTGGTTAGATTCTATGTCGCTATTTCATTATACCTGATGATGATTGCTTGTGTTGCAATCGAAACGTCGTATGCTATTATTTAATTTATTATTTTATCTTTATACTTGACTTTACCGAAAAAACCAAAGAATAATTCCTGCAGTCACGAAAGCTCCAAAATTAAGATTGTGTATTACTATTTTATCGCATTTTTTAAGTGCTTTGCTATCTTCCAGTACGATCAAAGATCGTTTATTTTTCAACTCAATTCAATGCACATTACCCTGCTGCAAGTTTCTAAGCATTGTATAATCATAATCTCTCTCCTCCCCCCTATTCTTCCTCCTTTCCTCTCCTTTCCTCCATCCTCTCTGAACGTCTACCCTCTTTTTCCCCTCCCATCCTCTACTCTCCTCTCAATCGCAGATCTGCTGTTCCCAAGTGCTCAGTCAGTGTCTGGACCCAGACTGGCAACGAGCTCCAATCCTCTACGTACAAGACCACAGTGTCTTCCTCGACATCTCCAACTGCATTGGCACCAACAGGGCCGTGACGTCTGTCCGCTATGCTTGGTCTAACTGGCCGTGTGAACTCCACGCTTGTGCTCTCTATGGAGTGGAGCCTACCGCACTACCAGCACCCCCCTTCATAATGGCCGTGCCGTCAGAGAGGGGTTTATAATGGCAGTGTCGGGGGAATTTAAAGCGGTAGTGTCGGGGAGATTTATAACAGGGGTGTGGGTAGGGGGTTCCTAACGGTTGTTTTCATGGGGCCCTTCAGGGCCATGTTGGCAGGTTCATAATGACCATGTCGGTGGGTTTCTTAAGGCCTTAGCAGCAAAGCTGTCCTTCCTTCTCTGGTGGAGTCTGCAGGACCCCGACTAGGGTCGCCACCTTTCCCACAGATCAAGACCGTAATACATATTGTTATATCGACACTGCACAGTATATCACAATTAAATTCCACACATTACCAGTACCATAAATATCTATATAAATCAATTCCTGTCGCCAACACTGTTGTATATTGGCCTTTTCCAAATTTTTTTTAAAAAATGTGATGCTTATTTTGAATGTCATAGTTCCTTGTAGACATGTGCATTCATTGCGTTGTGAGTTGAAAAACCAGATGGGGCAAACAACCAATTAGGACTAGTGAGACATTGGAAATCAGAACAGGCTTTATAGCTTGGGATGATAATAAGTGGCACGAACCTGTCAAACTCTTTCCTTGATCGAACACAGACATTACCAGAAAGACCATGAATGGGCACTATGCTGCTTTTAAAGTGCCCATGATAGGAAACCTTCCACACTCAACATCTTGAGCTGTTTAAATTAGTAACAAGTCTTGGCATTTGTGATGATCGCATATGACTATTCCAAAACATCATGGTATTACATTGTGACCTTGATGATATGATGTACCACTACATGACAATGCAGCCAAGGGCCAAAAGGTTAAATATTACCATTTTGCATGATCTTATTAAAAATCACGATCATAAAAAAAAATGTGCTATAAGGTCTGGGTTACGCATGTGAAAATTGATAATAGAATTATGTCAGTTCATGATGAAGTGTTGATCAGGAGCATTCAGGCCAATATGTAGATGTTTATGCTAATTTTCCACGACCAAATAATTTATATGTATTCAAGGGTGTATAACCGGAGCCACGCCCGACCGCCTTTGTCTCTCCAGTGGTGATCTTTACATGCAGCATCATGTATTCATTTTATGGCTGAGTCGACCTTGGGGGAAGGGGGGTGGGAACCAGGACCAGTTCAGATAACCGCTACTGCCAACCAGGCTCAATAGGAGAGGAAAAACAAGACATAAACGAGAGAGGGAGGCTGTTTTCACACCTCAATGCACGTGCGACACAACAACAGACACACACCATGGCATAACCAAAACTAAGAGCGAACTTTCATTAGCCAATAGACATCACAAGAGTAATTAAAGTAGGTCGGTATTCACACAGATCTTGAGATGACCTCCGAAGGGCAGGAGAGCGGTAACAGGAACGAGTTTATGACTCCAGAATGTCTGCAGAGCCAAAATCAGAGATGAACTCAGGATGATCGTATGGATGCTCGAGGGTGTGACTAGGAGCAGCTTCATACTCTTAAATGGTCTCGGGAATAAATTAAATAAGGTAGATATTTCTATATAACAAGACAAACATCACATTAATCAGTCTTGCAACGGCAAAGGCTCCGAGTATCAAAGAGTTTGAGTCTTGCTAAGGCAGACTAAAGAGTGTTCCTGAAAGCTGTTCAATGTTTCTTTATATTCTTCTTTACATGTTGAGTCTCTTGCAGTCAAACTCTGTATAGTTGTTTTGCGAGGAAAATCATTGATAAGCATCCATAGTGGATGCTCATACAGCTCTCCCTTCTACAAAGATATTCTGAGTAGCATACTATTGAGGTGCAAATGAATATTCTTTAAATAAAACAGTATTCAGGTCAGAGGTGCCAGGGAATTTGTTGGCAACACGTCTATTGCGGCATAAAGCAACTTACTCAAGTGGATATTTGAGTTATGCACCAATATTAAGTGTGCACAGAAATATTGTCCAAGCTATAGGCTGGAGAGCTCTGTTTGTAGTTAAGTCAGCCTGACTGACATTGCATGAGGTGTGAAGAGGCTTGGAGTGTGTCCAAATTGTTAGGTGCAGTTTCCTCCTGAACCTGTGGCTGCCTGCACGCCGTTGACCTCCGAGCGTGGACAGCAAAAGGTGCTCACAAACCAAGACTAGTGGTGACCAACTCGCAATGTGTCAGGGCAAGTGTCGCGACGTGCGACCAACCTGCTGATGAGCAACAAGCGTGCCGGCCAGCGAGGCTGCAGTGTGTCTAAGCTGCAGATCAAGCCTGGCGTGCAGACAATCCTATGAACAAGCAGCAGGCAGCATGGTCGCAGCACCCTCCAGCAGTAGACCAAGGCTACTTTTCATCAGTAATTTCTGGTAGAGAAGTTAGAAGATAAACACTGACGTACATACTCACTCATCATATAACCACACTGCTTACAGATTGTGATGCCAACCTCGCACAAGCACACATGAATTGACTCACACCCATTCTACATATCTTAATTAGTTAATTGCATGTACAATTGCCACCTTGACACACACACACACTCCACATCACGCATTCGATCATTGAGGCTTTTCTAACCATTTGGTATGCATTTATGAGCACGTATGTCTGCATGAATACTGTTATTTTGAGGTGTCAGTCTGGTTTATTTCTTTAATAGCATAATTTTGTGATTTGATCATTGATACTTTTCTAACCATTTAGCATGAATTGATGAGTACGTATATTTGCATGTGTACTATAGTGCCACTCTATTTTTCGATGTCAATCTAAGTTCATATCAATGTTGCTTCTATTAAAAAGAGTCTGAGTGCTTCCTTCCTAACTCGTGCCTCATATTTCTCAATTTTTAGAACTGTTCCTGCGGTAAGATCTGAATTCTGAGACCTGACAATTGCCTATAACTGATAAAAAGATAATCAGTAAATGTTATCACGAATGATATATACCCCTAGACAATGTAAAAGCCAATAATAACTTATTCTTGGTTCTTTCGACCCCGTCGATTACCTGGGCCAGGACAGCCCCAATGCCCATGTCATTGGCGTCGGTGTCGAGGAGGAACGGTTTAGAGAAGTGTGGATACCCCAAGGGCGGCGCATCCGCCAAGGCCGCGCGAAACGCCACAAAGGCGGCTTCCTCCTCAACCCCCCAGCAAAAATTTTTACCCTTGGCGGAGAGTGCGTGCAGTGGCTTCACAATTGTCGCAAAATCGCGGACAAACCGGCGGTAGTATGATGCGAAGCCCATGAAACTACGCACCTCAGCAACAGATGTAGGAGTTGGCCATGTCCGGACTAAAGCTGTCTTTTCCGGATCCGTGGCAACACCTGATGCACTTACATTGTGTCTCAAATACTTCACCGATGGTTGCAACAAGTGACATTTTTGTGGTTTGAATTTCAAGCCCGCGGCACGCACTTTGACGAACACTGCCTCAAGGCATCGCAAGTGCTCGTCAAACGTACGTCCGAAAACAATCACGTCGTCCAAGTAGATTAAACGAGATTCCCACTGCAGCCCCGCCAAGACAATCTCCATGAGACGCTGGAAGGTGGCTGGGGCCGAATGGAGACCCATAGGAAGCCGATTGAATTGGAACAGCCCCTGAGGTGTGCGGAATGCTGTCTGGGGTCTAGAGGCCTCGTCCAGTGGCAATTGCCAGAAGCCTGAGAACAAGTCTAGGGTCGAAAGAACCGCGCACCCGAGAGAGCATCCAGGGAATCATCCATCGAGGTAATGGATATGCATCAGCTACCGAGATCTTGTTTCATTTACGCACATCTCATAAACTGCAGAGTGGACATGATCTTTCTCCACAGGACTAAGGTGGTGAGAATTTAGCCGAAAAGGGTCCGAATCGCCCGTATCAATGTGATGTTCCAAGAGAGAGGTATGACCCAGATCGAATTTACTTTGGCTGAACACATCGGTGAACCTGACGATGAGTTTGCAGAGCCGCTGGCGCTCCTCGGAGGACAACGAGGCGTTCTCGTTGCACAACGCATCCACCCATGATGCGTTGGTCCTCCCTGGAGGCAACACGTCCACCATGACCCCTCCCGGCGGCCAAGTGATGTCGGGAGGAGGGCCCGGGGTGGCGTGCGCCAACACGGCACTGACCGGGACTACGATCGGCGCGGGCCCCGAATTCAGGATCTGCAGAAAAGGCTCCTGGCCCGCCGACACGGCCGTGAAAGCACCCACCAACCCTATCGAACCTCGAAAAATAATTGGAGGAAGACAGGAGAATGCCTGTCTCCGGGAACTCCAATCTTAATGGCCCGTGCAGCCTGAGGGGTAGCAGGACTTGCGACCCTGGTGGGACCGTGACAGACATTGTAGTCAAAGCCCGCACACTAGCGGCTAGAGGACCCAAGGCCGAGGGAGATCGCAGGAACCGCAATCGCTCCCCCGACGGCATCTCTACGCACCCTTGGTCGACCAGGATACGTACGAGCATCCTAGCCAGAAAATCGGTCCTCAAGAGGTACGGCACGGCCAAGGTCCTGGAGACCAAAATGGGCCTGACCAATTCGATTTCGCCGATCGCCACCGACGCGGCGACGTGGCCCAAGATGCCGAGGCTACCGCAGTTAGTGGCCACACAAGCCCCGCGAACTGGCCGCAATGGCCCAACGCTGCGTGGCAATAAGTGAAAAATGGTCTCCGAGACCATGGTGGCAGACGCACCCGTGTCCATCAGGATCCGCACCTCGACCCCTTGCACATGCCCTACAACGGCCGAGGACCTCGCAGCGGAGGCCACAACGCGATGCGCGAGGGCCTTCCACTAGTGAGTCCATTTGGGCCACCCAACCGACGGCTCCAACCCCGCAAAACCCGAGCCTGAACCCCCAGAGAAGACCCCTGGAGGATGGGCCCTAACCCCGCTAGATGTGAGGTGAGGAAAGCGGTCGTGCGATAGATCCGTCGCGACTCGCCTGTGACCCCGGAGGTCCCGTCGTCGGAGACCTGGTTGTGGCAGAAGAAGTCCTCGAGAAGGCCCCAGGGGCGTTGTTGCAGCCCCGTTCGAAGTGGCCCTGCTAGCCACAGCGTAAGCAGATCCCCCACCCCGCGGCCTGCGGACGAGGAGGACCCGACCACCACTGCCTCTCCGACCGGCGCTCCGCGGCCCCCCACCCACGGTGGTCGTAGGCTGCTACGGCTGTGATGGTGTCTTACCCCTGAGGTGCCGTCGCCGCAGCTGGCACGGGAACCCCCACGCACGCTGCCACCGCGGTTGGCCATTGCAGCGTGAGGTGTGCTTGAATGTTCTGCGCGACGGCCAACGTGATCCTGGACTCCTCGGCGATGGACAACATGATGCCCAGCTCCCCCACAATAAATAAATCACTCGGACTTGGAATGTGCCCGATGTGGTCAGACCTCGAAAGCCAAGCAGATCTGAGCTTGGACAGTGCCTGGATAGGTGCCCACCATGCACAAACAGGTTGTCATAGGGCTGCGGGGCCACGTTGTGTTTATATCCAGTTGTATTGTACGTCTATGCTGCCCACCTTTACCAAACCACACTGACCAGCCAGGGTGAAGTATGGTTAAACGGCCTCCACAACCAGGAAGGCGTGAGGAGGCCCTCCTCCAGCAGTGGATTTACAAAAGTTTCGACAGGCATTGTGCGGCGCTCATCTTCACCAGTCGAAATTCCACATTCCCATGGCAGGAACCATCTTTAACCACTGACGACTTTACATGGAGTGATAGTTATTTTACGACTGTAGAGATGACGATGGTTTGCCTATGTCAACCCTTTACCCTACAGTAAATGAAAGTATATGCATTGCTATCAGGGGAGGCAGGGGAAGCAGAGCCTCACCTGTCATACTCCAATGAAAATAGCTGTTACGAAAAGTGAAAATAATAACAAAATAAATATTAAGATTTTTCCATTGATATGTTATAAATATCATTTTTGTATGATTCCAATCATTTTTATAGTAAACATCGCCAAATTTGCGGAGCACCGCTGCAAATACAGGGAGAGACGAGAGGTGAGGCAGCGACGCGCTCAGCCTCCCCACTGATTGCGCAATCCCTCAAACTGGATGGAGCGCAGGCAATAAGCGCGTGCCTAAATTTCGATTTAAAGCTTTCGTGACTGCAGGGATTCATCTTCTTGGTTCTTTCGGTAAAGTCACATAGAAATAATAAAATAACAAAAATTAAACATAATTAAATAATTCACACGACGTTTCGGCCACAACGCAAGCAGCCGTCCTCAGGTGAAGAACAGGTCTGTCAGAAAGACAGCGTCTGAATGAACACCACCAGGCTTGGCAGCGTATATTTAAGCTAGTTTGGAGGGGGAAGAGCGCCTTGACAAAGGAATTTGCATATCAAGAGTAATTTAGCATATTTATGGGAAATGCAGGTATGTGATTAGTACTACTTATGCCCGTGCATTATGCAGGATTAGCAGCATCAAAGGGAGGGGATATGGGAAATGCAAGTATGTGATTAGTACTACTTATGCCCGTGCATTAAGCAGGATTAGCAGCATCAAAGGGAGGGGATAGGGGTAGCATTAATAAAGGGAAGGAGTGTTAATAGTATGTAGCTGCAAGTAACTAAAACCACCACGTAAACAACTAAAGTATAAACTACATAGTATCATCAGTATACTAAATATACTCTACAATAAGCTGAGTTATTAACAGTAAGTAATACATTACAATTCTACGTCGTAAAATATAATATGCTTCCATCTAAACTTTATTCTCTTACATCACACGAGTCTACACCGTACTATATACTGCCATAGACAAACCCAACATTAAATTATATACTGTATTGCTTTAAACCACCCTAAACCTTATACATTGTAATATTACACTATGTATTATTCTACCCACCAGAATGTATATCACACTGCTGTATATTCACTATACAATTACGATACTATATATTACTTTGTACGTTGTATTAAGCATATACATTTTAGACTATTTGTTATTATACACTGTACCATTGACCGTCGTGTGAAAGATTCTAAGAGGAAGCAACGAAATATGTCAAAGGGAGAGTAGTGGGAAGGAAACTTGCAGCGGGGCAAAGAATCCATTCCCTGCAAAGAATACAATGCCAGTGAGTGGAACGCGGTCTGAAAGTCACTGTAAACGTGAACACAATCAGTTAAGATCCTAAATGGTTTATTACGTCCTTCCAATGATTGCTAAGCCAGAATCCATCTTCTCGGTTGAAATTGTCTCTGTGTTTGTATATGTGGATCGCCTCATGAATTAATCTCTCATGGTAGCCAGATGGCTTGCAGAGAACCTCTGTCTTGGAGAAGTCAATATCATGTGAGCCCACTGAATTGTAACAGTGATCTGCCACGGCTGAGGTGTTTGTCCTACCGTGTTTCAAGTCTGCTTTATGTTCACGGATGCGGTCCGAGACATGTCGTTTGGTTTCTCCAATGTAACTGCTACCACAGAGGAAACTTAGTTTGTAGACGCCAGGGTACTATATGTCTGGAACCACATCTTTTACAGACAGGACCAGATCACGGATTTTATGTACTGTGTTGAATCGGACCTGGAACTTGTGTTTTATCAGGATTTTGGAAATCTTTTTTGTGACCCCAGCAATGTAGGGTAAATTGATGGTATTGAAAGGCTCCTCAACAGGATCCTTCTTGATGGTTGGAGTGATGGCTTTGCGGATTGTGTACTAGGAGTAACCATTAGCCTTAAGAGCTTGGCGTACGTGTTTGAGTTCACTGGCAATGTGTTCCTGGTTGGAGATGCATTGGGCTCTATGGTATAGAGTCTTGATGAGAGAA